ATAGAGACTTTTGGGCTGTTAAAGAATTAAACATGAATTTGAGAAAAGCTGGGGAGAAAAGATTGCTACAACTTAGTGAGTTGGAAGAGTTTCCGTTGGAGGCTTACAAAAGTGCTAGACTTTACAAAGAAAAGACAAAGTATAGGCATGATAAGCATATTCAAAAGAGAGAATTTCAAGTTGGCCAGAAAGTTCTAGTCTTCAACTCAAGGCTTAAATTGTTTCCGGGCTAGCTTCGCTCTAGGTGGTCCGGTCCATTCACGGTGACAAACGTGTTTCCATATGGTGCGGTTGAAATACAAAGTGACACTGGCTCTTTTAAAGTTAATGGGCAGTGGTTGAAGTTGTATTTAGATGGAGATATGGTGCATCAAGGGGTTTCTTACTCTTTGAGTAATCCATCAACTCATTGATCAACCGAAAAGTCTAGCTAATGACTAAAAAAAAAAGCGCTTCTAGGGCGGCAACCCTAGTTTCTAAAATTTTGCAATACTTATTCATTTATTATAGTCAAGTGTTTTGAGGAATTAAGTTTTTTATTTTCTTGACTTTCATGGAATTTATGATTGTGATGAGAATCATGTAGCCTTCCATGGAGGTTCTCCTAGTGAGGGGAATGAGCTAGTCCTTCATTCTAGTTTTGGAATGCCAAGTTTACTTTGCAGGCCAATCAAGGAAGAAAGGATGGATCTTGACTACCTATGTGATAGAGAGTTGGTTCAAAAAAGCTATGATCAAGGCGAAGAGAATGTCATTAACTTTGGGGTTCAAACCAAAGGAGATGAAGATCTCATGAAAATAAGTGCTGAAGAGTATCAAGAGAATTTGACTCTGTGTGCTCCATGAAGATCATTGATCAAGCTAGTGAGAAGAGTCATTTAGGTTCTTGAATGGACGGCCTATTTGATCAAAGTGTTCAAGATTGAGTCCAATGCTACACAATTGGATAGGTTGCAAACTATCTTAATTGTTTCAAGTGTTTTTCCAATCTTTTGGAGTCAATAAAGAGAATTCTACAAGTTTTGGAGTAAATTGGAGTTTTCTACAACTTAAGGGGCGCAAGACCAATATTCCACTTTTGGAAGGGCGTTCAAGACATTTTACTTCAATAATTTGGAGCTGAATTTCGAGATTAGAGTTAGTCTAAGTCTAGGAGTGAATTTTCGAATTTTTATCTAGTTAAATAAGTCATGTGGACTGAATTAAGCTAGAGTGTTTTGATTAGGAGTCTCAGATTCCTTCTAGATATTATCCTACTTGAGGATAAGTTATTTAGATAAGGTTTCCTAGATTTTAGATAGAGTCAAAGAGATCAAGTACTCTTCTACTTCTACTCCTTGGGAGATAAGATTAGAGATTCCTAATTGGTCTTCTTTTTTAGTGGTGCTGGCCGAAAATTCTAAGCCTATAAATAGGAGGCTTGGCCGAATTTCTTAAGCACCCTTGAGTGGTCATTTTTGTTGTCTCTTTTGAGAGTTTTTCCCGTGAGGAATTTTTGTTAAATGGAGTGTCCATTTTTCGTGTCAAGTATGATTAAACCAAGAGGGTTTTCATCTTGTCTTGGATCTTTTTGATCTTGCAGAAACCGTTCTTTTTCAAGTATACTTCTTGATAGAATTGTTTTAAAACAAAACTTCTTATTTTCATACTACTTCTAGTAGTTCAATTGATGAGCCTTTCCTTTGGCTTGGTGTTCGAATTTTATGATGAGTGTGTTCATGAGATCCATTGTGGGGTTTGTCCTACTTTTGTTGGATGAGTTGTGCTTTGGCATAAGCATTTTGAGATAGTGTATGTGTTGCATATCTTTGGTTGGTTATGAAGATTACTAATCAATAGTATTCCTTCATAGTTGGGCATTGTTTGCTCCTGCCTTTCTTGATTCTCTTGATAGATGACTGATCGAGTATATTGAATGGTGTCCTTGCTATTCTTAGCGTGGGTTGTTGTTTAATTCGAATCTTTCATGGATAATGTGTTCTTTGCTGGGTTTGAGTTAAGAGATAGAATCTCTTAGATAAACGATCGTCTTACTGTGAATTTTTCGCACTCTTTTGAGTTTCACGGGATAGACAAAATTATCTTCGTACCTTCTTGTTGATGGTTGCATTAACGAAATTTGCTTCGTCTACTAGATTGCTATCAGTTTCTTGGTATCAGAGCTTAGATTATCTTAGTGATGGTATTAATTGATATTATCATATCAGTTCCTATTATCAGTTTGATTTTCGAGAGATTTCTTCTTAGTTAAGGACTTCATAGTTCTTGGTTTTGAGAATATCTTGAATTACCACGGAATCCGTTACTTGGTGTGGTGATCGAGCTTTGTGCTACTTAACGAGTAGTACTATCTTTATTTGTTTCAAGGTTCCTTCTTGTTTTGGAATGGGGTGTTGAAAAAATAAATCAAATTCTTGTGAAAACTACGTTTTCAAAATTGATCTTGTCTTTTGTGTGGTTGTGCGTGACTTCTTACACATTTGTTTGATCTTGTGGTGTTATTTTGAGGTCTATGCGAGAACTTGATGATGGTACTTTGGTATCTAATCAAAGTGGACGCTACATCTTGAAATTTATCCTTGATTTGCAAGTAGAGAACTGTTTCTTCTATGAACAAGTTGGTGGATCTTATGTGTTGGATCTTTAAGGAGAGAATTGATGCCAAAGAAGAGCTTCTTGCTCGAGATAGCCTTTTCTTTCTAAAGAGATGTCTTTACATAAGGAAGATTTGAGAGTTTATCTTGTGGTAAATATCTTGGATCTATTCTTTGAAAGGTGAAGCTTAGTGATTTTGTACTTTCTACATAAAGTATAAATGAAAAAGCCTTCCTTCTTGTTGGTTTCATTTGAATCTAATGAGTAAAATGGAATTTATCGATTTCCAATTCATGAAAATTTCATAGAGACCGAATTTTGTTGATTATCTTGTTTAATCTTAGTGTCAAAAGATTTTTCAAAAGTAACAAATGCTGGTTTTCTAGTTTTCTCGAGTTTTACACTTTGAGATTGAGTCAAAACTTTCTTTGTCATGTGATGAGGAATGAATTTTTAGTGATATCAGTTTTTGGTATCAAAGTGTTTTAAGGTCTTTGAAGTTGAATTGTGCCAACTTTAAGAATTGAAGTGTTTGACTTGTGTTTTAAAACCTTGATTTTCGAGAATAGGACCGAAAATTGAGTGAAGTTTTACTAAAAAGATTTTCTTAATTTATGACAAGAAATCTTATAGGCTTTGAGATGTATTCTTAAAGTTTACATATTTGGTTGTTGGAAAAGTTTATTTTCAATGGTCACTTATGAAGATGGCATTGTTAAGTCATTGAGTTTTCAGAATGATTTGTGTTAAATTTAGTATTATGAAGCAAATGTGATAATTGAATGAGGAACTTTAATTTCCTACTTCATTATAATTATGGTGTTCTTGTTACTTTATTTGCCATGGATTGTTTTGGTAAAAAGTGATTTTTGTTAATTCCAAGTACAATTTGGAAAAGGGTTTTTAGAAAGATTCTAAAAGTTGTTGTCCATTTTTGGAAAGTGCTAATTTTCAAGTTTCCTTTTTAAGTGACTCAAAAGTAATTTTTCAAATTTTAACTATGTGGTAAAAGGTTAATAGCCGAAATTTTGCTGACTTTTTGCATGTGTGTGCGTGTGATTTATGTGGTATTCTAAGCCTAGTTGGTTTTGAATTTTAGAGTCATAGTATAGCCGAAATTGTGAAGCTAAAAATTAGGGTTTCCTAGTCCTAGTTGAATTTGAATTTTGGTTGTCTATTTGTGTTACACTTGGAGACCTATTTGGTCTTGTATTTGTGTGTTCACATGGCCGAAAATTTTAGCCCTAAAATTAAGGTGATCGAGTCCAAATTGTGTTATGATTTGAGTCCTATTCGGTTTTGGATTTTTGTGTTCACATTGGCCGAAAATTTGCAGCCATTGTTTCCTAATTGTAATACAATTTTATTGTGTGTTTTATTTAAGTCCTACTTGGATTTAAATACTAATTTTTGCATGTGTTAAATTATAATTTCAGTGAGATTATAATTAGAGTTTTAAAGTGAGTCTATTTTTGAAAACTATTAAGATAAGGAAGTCTTATCCTAATCTGAAAATTTTTTTAGTCTTCTAATACAATTGTGTATGTGTGTGGCCGTGTATTTGAGTTCTTTTAGTAGTAGGGGGGTCGAAAATTTTATCTCTAATAAGTAGGGATGAGTTTTTCCTAATTTGTGTCCAAAAAGGATTATGTTTACCTAAGTTTTAGGACTCTATCCTTGTCTATATATATGAGGCCAGTTTTTCTTCTTCTTTATTCCATATTGTCGAGCAGCCTTCATCATTAAAAAGGGGGGAATATTTTTGAGAAAATTTAGATCCTATCTTGTAGGAGTTTTCTTGCACAAAACGACTTGCATTGCCTATAACTAGGGGTGCTGTTTTTCGAAAATTCTCACATCACTCTACTCCAATTTTCTTCTTCTTTCTTGCTGCCGAGATCAAAAGAGAAAAGAACAAGAGAAGCACTCTTCTCTTTAATTTTGAAATTTTGAGAGTTGTGTTCTTAAAAGCACAAGAGAGTTTTTGTTTTTGGGGAGAGCTTTATTCGAACCTTCCTTTGGTTCTTGGGGGGAGGGGGGGTTCGGCCGAACCAAACTTTGGTTCTAGGGTTCAAGGAGTTTTTGTGTAGTAAACAAGGCACATTACTTCTTTTGTTGGTGGTTTCTCAGAGTTGTTGAGCAAAGATGTCATCCGGAGTTGCTGGTTGTACTCAAATCGCTTCAAAGAGTATAGAGGGTCGCATGGAAGCTCAAGTATAGCTCATGAAGAGTCAAATTGACTTCCTACATGATGCTTTGGCCGAGGTTAAGAAGGCAAACCGAGACTTGTCTCAATTGCTTTCAAATCAGCAAGATAAATCTATGGTAAGTTTTGAGAAAATTGCTTAAATTTAAGAGTCTTATGTGATCGTTTTGAAGTTAAACAAGTACCCTCGTATGCTGGAATGTTGCAAGTGTCATTGCCTTTGTTTTATGGTTGTCATAGAGAATATGATACTTGGGAAAAGAGCATAGAGAATTTGTTTGTGTTGCTTAACATAGAGAAAGAGAGTGAGAAAATAGCCTTAGCTATAGATTGTTTTCGTTCTAATGCTTTGAATTGGTGGAAGCTAGTTTCAAATATCTATTCGCATTATTGGTATCGTAATTTGGATGATTGGCATGATTTGAGAAGTGCTTTGCGAGAAAGATACGCTGGTACTAACACCTTTGATGAAGCAAAAGTGAAGTTGCTCAATTGTAAGCAGAATGGTAGATCCATTCAATCTTACTTTGAGGAATTAGAAGGGTTGTTTCTGAGTTCAGAAGTGGATGAGAACGACTACATGTTGACAGACCGTTTCCACTATGGCTTGGACAAGTGTTTCAAACAACACCCAAAGATAAGGAGACAATCAAGGCTCTATGAGGCATACTACGCTGCCTTAGAAGTGGAAAGAGAGCATGATACTTCTTGTGGTTGGAATGGTCCAATTGAGGATCAGGGGTTGGTGTTTGGTGCTGAAGATGGAGATCAATGGACTTGTATCTTCCGTACTAAGTGTTCGGTTGGGTGGTCCAATGAAGTTGATTTGGTAATCGACGGTGGGTTGAGTACTGATTGTGTAAGTGAGGAATTCTGCATAGCAACCGGAATTAAGATGGATCCGCATACTAGACCATACAAGATTCAATGGTTGAGTGAAGAGATGGTTGTGGATGTTACTAAAAAGGCCATGGTACCTTTTCAGATTGGTGAGTATAGGGATGAAATTTACTTTGATGTAATTCCTATGTCTCTTTGTGATATTTTGCTAGGTAGGCCTTGGCAGTCAGATGTAGATGTTGTGCACCATTGCTCGAAGAATATCTTTGTCTTTACTAAAGAGGACAGAAAATACATTCTTAAGCCTTTGGCTTATGAAGAATCTGAATCTATGCGAGAGAAAAGACGTAAGATAACCTATACACAAGGGAGAGAAAAAGTCGAGCGAGTGACGCAAGAAAGTAAAAAGGGTCACGATGAGGTAAGACTTGAGGCGAGAGAAAACCATGAAAATAGCGTGGAAACAGAAAAAAAATGCACGCAATGAGAGAAAATCAGAGTGTGGTGAGGGTGAGGATTTTACTAACCCTTATATCTCGTTTGTTCCTTGTGCAGGTATAGAGGTTGATGATTCGAGGACGAATCCTCTGTAAGAAGGAGGGGATGATGAGAATCATGTAGCCTTCCATGGAGATTCTCCTAGTGAGGGGAATGAGCTAGTCCTTCATTCTAGTTTTGGAATGCCAAGTTTACTTTGCAGGCCAATCAAGGAAGAAAGGATGGATCTTGACTACCTATGTGATAGGGAGTTGGTTCAAAAGAGCTATGATCAAGGCGAAGAGAATGTCATTAACTTTGGGGTTCAAACCAAAGGAGATGAAGACCTCATAGAAATAAGTGCTGAAGAGTATCAAGAGAGTTTGACTCTGTGTGCTCCATGAAGATCATTGATCAAGCTAGTGAGAGGAGTCATTTAGGTTCTTGAATGGACGGCCTATTTGATCAAAGTGTTCAAGATTGAGTCCATTGCTACACAATTGGATAGGTTGCAAACTATCTTAATTGTTTCAAGTGTTTTTCCAATCTTTTGGAGTCAATAAAGAGAATTCTACAAGTTTTGGAGTAAATTGGAGTTTTCTACAACTTAAGGGGCGCAAGACCAATATTCCACTTTTGGAAGGGCGTTCAAGACATTTTACTTCAATAATTTGGAGCTGAATTTCGAGATTAGAGTTAGTCTAAGTCTAGGAGTGAATTTTCGAATTTTTATCTAGTTAAATAAGTCATGTGGACTGAATTAAGCTAGAGTGTTTTGATTAGGAGTCTTAGATTCCTTCTAGATATTATCCTACTTGAGGATAAGTTATTTAGATAAGGTTTCCTAGATTTTAGATAGAGTCAAAGAGATCAAGTACTCTTCTACCTCTACTCCTTGGGAGATAAGATTAGAGAGTCCTAATTGGTCTTCTTTTTTAGTGGTGCTGGCCGAAAATTCTAAGCCTATAAATAGGAGGCTTGGCCGAATTTCTTAAGCACCCTTGAGTGGTCATTTTTGTTGTCTCTTTTGAGAGTTTTTCCTGTGAGGAATTTTTGTTAAATGGAGTGTCCATTTTTCATGTCAAGTATGATTAAACCAAGAGGGTTTTCATCTTGTCTTGGATCTTTTTGATCTTGCAGAAACCGTTCTTTTTCAAGTATACTTCTTGATAGAATTTTTTTAAAACAAAACTTCTTATTTTCATACTACTTCTAGTAGTTCGATTGATGAGCCTTTCCTTTGGCTTGGTGTTCGAATTTCATGATGAGTGTGTTCATGAGATCCATTGTGGGGTTTGTCCTACTTTTGTTGGATGAGTTGTGCTTTGGCATAAGCATTTTGAGATAGTGTATGTGTTGCATATCTTTGGTTGGTTATGAAGATTACTAATCAATAGTATTCCTTCATAGTTGGGCATTGTTTGCTCCTGCCTTTCTTGAGTCTCTTGATAGATGACTGATCGAGTATATTGAATGGTGTCCTTGCTATTCTTAGCGTGGGTTGTTGTTTAATTCGAATCTTTCATGGATAATGTGTTCTTTGCTGGGTTTGAGTTAAGAGATAGAATCACTTAGATAAACGATCGTCTTACTGTGAATTTTTCGTACTCTTTTGAGTTTCACGGGATAGACAAAATTATCTTCGTACCTTCTTGTTGATGGTTGCATTAACGAAATTTGCTTCGTCTACGAGATTGCTATCAATTATTCTTTAAAGCAACATCTTTAGATCTTAGAAGTGTTTCTGAAAAGTTTTATAGACATGAAGGTTATCTATTTCGAGAAAATCGACTTTGTGTGCCTAAGTGTTTACTTCGAGAACTGTTGATACGCGAGGCGCATAGTGGAGGTTTAATGGGACATTTTGGTGTGCCTAAGACTTTGGATGTGCTCCAAGAGCATTTCTTTTGGCCCAAAATGAAGTCTGACGTTCAAACTATCATCAATCAATGTGTGGAGTGTAAACAAGCGAAGTCCAAATTGCTTCCTCATGGACTTTACACGCCATTGCCTATCCCTACACAACCTTGGATGGACATATCTATGGACTTTATATTGGGTTTACCTAGAACTCAAAGAGGTATGGATTCTATCTTTGTAGTTGTGGATAGATTTTCTAAAATGTCGCATTTCATTGCTTGCAAAAACAGATGATGCACGTCATGTTGCGGATTTGTTTCTAAAAGAAATAGTAAGACTTCATGGTGTTCCAAGAACAATTGTTAGTGACAGGGACGTTAAGTTCCTTAGCTACTTTTGGAAATCGTTGTGGGGAAAGGTGGGTACTAAGTTGTTATTCAGCACAACTAGTCATCCACAAACTGATGGTCAAACTGAAGTGACGAATCGTACTTTAGGAGCTATCCTAAGAGCGATCATCAAGAGTAATTTGAAGAAATGGGAAGAGTGCTTACCTATTGCTGAATTTGCTTGTAATAGAACTGTTCACTCTTCTACTCAGTTTTTGCCTTTTGAAATTGTCTATGGTTTTAATCCGTTAACTCCTTTAGATTTATCACCTTTGCCTTTGAAGGATCAAGTTAGTTTGGATGGAGTTAAGAAAGCTGAGACAATCAAGAGACTGCATGAGAAAGTTCGCCTCAATATTGAGCGTAGGACTCAACAATATGTAAAGTCGGCGAATCGTGGTCGTAAACAAGTTGTATTTGAACCAGGTGATTGGGTTTGGGTACATATGAGAAAAGAGAGGTTTCCAAACTCTAGGAAATTGAAGTTACATCCTCGCGGAGATGGACCTTTTCAAGTAGTGTCAAGAGTCAACGACAACGCTTATAAACTTACGCTACCAGGTGAGTTTAGTGCTACATTCAATGTTTCTGACCTATCTCCTTTTGATTTTGATGAAGGTTTGAATTCGAGGACAAATTCTCTTAAAGAAGGGAGTATGATGGAGACCATCTAGCTAACACTAATGAAGAGGGACATGTTGCTGCCAATAATGGAGAAGACGAGCAAGTTGAGGTCGTGAATGCTAATGGAGGATCTAAAGATGCTGCTTTAAAGAATAATCCTTACATTCGTGATCCACTTTCAAACATTGTTGGACCAATGACTCGTGCTAGACGCAAGAGGATGAATGAATCACTTAATAGTCTAATTGTTACTACATGGGCTAAGGAGAAAATTAAGCTTGAAGATTACAAGCCCAAGACTATTAATTTGCTGCAAGTAACACCAAATGGACATGGCCCATTTGGAGAGAAGAATTTCGGCCCTCAATCCACAAAGGGACCGCCGGCCACCTTTCCTCATGTTGGTCGAATTTCTCCCTAAAGTTTAGGGGTAAGATCATTCAAATTTTATCTCTTTGAAAGAGAAGACTTTTATCTCTTTAAAGGATAATATTTGGGATGATTCTTTTTACTTGTTTTTCGAGTTTTCCTACAATAAGGAGTCAGCTTTTGATGTCTATTCAACCGTTGGATGAAGACTACATCAAAATGGATGGCTAAGATCACTCTACAAAGAAGATGATGATAGAGTTTTAACTCAAGGGAGATTCTATCCATTGGAATCTTTCTAAGAGATTATCTCTTTGTATTTTGGAGTTTTAATTAATTCCTACAAGTCTTAAATGTTTTAAGACTAGTAAAAGTGTCTAGGTTCGTTATCTTATCACTTAAGATAACTAGGAGTCTTTAGAGTTTGATTTCATTTCAGATTCTTAGAGATAGGAATAGAGGTGAAGAGTTGTGTTCTTCCTCTACCTCTAGGATAGAAATTTCGGCCACCCCTCTATATAAAGGGACCGAAATCCTCTTGTCCAACACCTTTTGGTCATTTTGAAATTTTCCTGAGTGAAATTGGTTAGGATTTTATTCCTTTCGTGGAGTTCTTGTGAGGACTTCTTTGTTTGATTGTTGCATATGTGTTGTGACAATTGTTAGACTTATCTATCTTGTTTAGTTCGCTTGATAGTGGCGTCTATAGCATTGGACCTTTCGAATCTTTGTATTTGGGCTCATAGATCTCATATCTATTGGGTTTTCTTACACAATTTTCCAAAGGGTCTCGCTTGATTAGAATTAGCTCTCTTCATTTTTGATTTGGGTTTTCTACCATTGAACTCGTGGATTGATCCACGTGAGATCAAATATCTTTTCTTTTCTTTGTTTTCGTGTGTTCTAGAGTCTTTAAATCCGAATTTCCAAATTCCGCTGCCTACAAATCTCTGACTTTCCGAACTAGCAAAGTTGGTCTTTTCCTAAAGATTGGTTTTGTTACGGATTGCTATCATAATTTTGGTATTCAGAGCCTTCTTATGGTTTTACCATAGTTGGCATATTTAGAGCCATAATTTGGTATATCAAGAGTCATCTTTGGTTACCATAATTGGTCTCAAAATTCGGATTTTTTTGTTCTTCTTGTTTTCTTCCTCTCTTCGAATTTCCTCTCCCAAAAGAGGGTATTCATAATATTTTGTTTTTGAGTTGTTCACCACTTGGACAATTCCTTTTAGTTTCGTGCCTTTCGTTTTGTCATCATCCAATAGCAAACTTTGGTGATTGTGTTTGATATATATCTCTCGTTCCAAGATCTCTATATCTTGAGGGTGATTGATGTTCATTCATTGATTGTTGGAGGAGCTTTTGTGTTGAAGGTGTTTGTTTGAATTTGGCCGTACAAAAAAAAAAAATTTGTTGAGTCTAGGGTTTCGCCGCCCCAAAAAAAAAAAAAAAAAAAAAAGAAAGCCGTACAAAAAAAAAAGAGACGGCAAAGAAAAAAAAAAGAAGAGAAAAAAAGGAGTCTTCTTTGATTGGCTACATTAAAGGTTGCCTTGCATTAGGAGATTTCAAAAGAGTTGGAAGTGAAGTTGGAAAGAATCTTCTTGAAGAGGTATATTCAAAGTCTATCTCTATCTAAGAAGGTTAGATAAAGTTGTGTTTGATTGGGAGTTTATCTTTGCTATTTAGTTGCCTATATTCTTTCAAAAGATAAGATTCTCTTCAAATCTTATCCTAATCTTATCTTATTGGATAAAACCTTATCCTATCTTATTGGATAAAACCTTATCCTTATCTCATCTTATAAAAGATAAGATTCTCTTTAAATCTTATCCTTATCTTATCTTGTAAAAGATAAAATTTTATCCTAATCTTATCTTAATTGGATAAACCTTATCCTTATCCTATCTTATTGGATAAAATCTTATCCTTATCTCATCTTGTAAAGATAAGATTCTCTTTAAAGCTTATCCTTATCTTATCTTGTAAAAGATAAGATTCTCATAAAATCTTATCCTTATCCTATAAGAGTTTGAGTTTGAGTTAGAGTCTGAGATATCATTTGAGTTTGCTTATACTTCTAAAGCGAGATCCCTATTTTTTTCTCCAAACACTCGAACGAGATTCGTGTTCTCCCTCGTTCTTTTCTGGAATTTCCCTAAATTTACTCTACGTGCTATTTGACTTTGTCTGCTTTTGAGTGATTTATTCGAGTGGATTGTTTAATTAATTGTTGTGGTGCATATTGCTACTACTTGAACATTGAAGCCGATCTGGAACTTTACCAAAGGTCTTTGAGTGGTAAAAGGCTTGAGTGTTTTCTTTCTATTCCACTTTGATATTGGGGAAAAGCCAAATAAATCCCAAAGAGAGCATACAAAAGGTGAGTTGTGTGTGATACTACCAAAAGAGGGAAAAGTAAAAGATCATTGGTTAGAGGAAGTGAGGTAGGAACGTTTTCTACTAACATCCTATATATTCGTTTGTTCTTTGATCTTAAAGGATGTCATCTGGAGATGATAGTGAACAAAGAGACGACTGTTCTCAAGATGCTATGCGAGAAACTCTTGCTAGATTGTATAATGTTACTACTCAACTATGTAGTAGAATACAAGATCTAGAACTAGAGGTTCGCAATGGTCGTGCTCAAGGTAATGAAGGTAATGAAAATCGTAATAGAGCTCATCGTGTTGTCAATAGGAATGATCCTTATGAACTTGGTAATTTCAAAGTTAAAATTCCTGAATTTAGTGGTACTAATGACCCTGAAGCCTATCTTACATGGGAAAAGAAGGTAGAGCGTGCTTTTTCATTGCAGGATTATGATGATTCTAAGAAGATTAGAATGGCCGTTTACCAATTCAATAACTATGCTTCAGAATGGTGGGACCAAGTTGTCAAGGATAGGAAGCTCTATGATGAGGATCCCGTATCCACATGGGATGAAATGAAAAGACTCATGCGCAAAAGGTTTGTTCCCTCTTATTATTATCGAGATTTGTGTAAACAAATTCAAAGTCTTTCACAGGGAACCAAGTCTGTTGATGAGTACTACCAAGAGTTAGAGTTGGCATTGATACGTGCAAATATTAAAGAGGAACCTGAAGCTATGATGGCGAGGTTTCTAGGAGGACTTAACAAAAACATTGCCGATGTTGTGGAGCTTTCACACTACCTAGATCCAACTGAGATGTTACACAAAGCTAGGATCGTGGAGAGACAATTGGCAAAGAAGAAGTCAGATTCACATAAGTCTTCTACACCATGGAAAAAAGATGATTCAAAGAAGTATGGTAATTCTTCAAAGTTAGAGAAGGGAAGTAGTTCTAACGCTTCTAATACTTCTAATATTCCTAAACCATCTTCTAATGTTAAGAATTCTACTTCATCTAGTAATACTAACAAAGTCAGAACTAGAGATGTTACTTGTTTCAAATGTCAGGGACGAGGACATATAGCTTCTGCTTGTCCAACTTTAAAGACTATGATCCTTAAAGAGGATGGAAGTTTCGAAAGTGAAACAGATGAAGAAGATGACGAGATGCCAAGACTTGTTGAGAAAGTCGAAAAAGAAGTTGTAGAGATTGATGCTGAGGCTGGACAAGTGTTTGTCAACCTTCGAGCATTACAAACTCAAGTAGCTGAAGATGATCATCAGAGACACAATATTTTCCATACTAAGTGTCGAGTTATGGACAAGGTATGCTTAACTATTATAGATCCAAGATCGTGTACTAATGTTGCTAGTTCATATCTTGTAGATAATCTGAAGTTACCTACTATCAAGCATCCGACACCCTATCGGTTGCAATGGTTGAATGATTGTGGCAATCTTAGAGTCACTAGGCAAGTGAATGTGCCATTCTCTATTGGAAAATATGAGGATGAAGTACTTTGTGATGTGGTACCTATGGAGGCAAGCCACCTACTTTTAGGACGACCATGGGGGGGTATGATCGAAGAGTAAAGCATGATGGATACAAAAACAAGTATTCGTTTGTAATGAATGGTCATAGCTATACCCTGAAACCTCTTTCACCTCCTCAAGTTCAAGAATGTAATCTGAGAATGATGCGAGAAAGAGAGAAACGAATGAAAGAGCAGAGTCCTAATGATGAATCTACTTTGGACGTTCCAAAGAGATCTTCAAATGATCTACAAATTCGAGAGCCAGTGATAGCAATCTCGTAGACGAAGCAAATTTCGTTAATGCAACCATCAACAAGAAAGTACGAAGATAATTTTGTCTATCCCGTGAAACTCAAAAGAGTGCGGAAAATTCACAGTAAGACGATCGTTTATCTAAGTGATTCTATCTCTTAACTCAAACCAAGCAAAGAACACATCATCCATGAAAGATTCGAATTAAACAACAACCCACGCTAAGAATAGCAAGGACACCATTCAATATACTCGATCACCATTAATCAAGAGACTCAAGAAAGGTAGGAGCAAACAATGCCCAACTATGAAGGAATACTATTAATTAGTAATCTTCATAACCAACCAAAGATATGCAACACATACACTATCTCAAAATGCTTATGCCAAAGCACAACTCATCCCAACAAAAGTAGGACAAACCCCACAATGGATCTCATGAACACACTCATCATGAAATTCGAACACCAAGCCAAAGGAAAGGCTCATCAATCGAACTACTAGAAGTAGTATGAAAATAAGAAGTTTAATTTTAAAACAATTCTATCAAGAAGCATACTTGAAAAGAATGGTTTCGCAAGATCAAAAGATCCAAGACAAGATGAAAACCCTCTTGGTTTAAACATACTTGACACGAAAAATGGACACTCCATTTAACAAAAATTCCTCACAGGAAAAACTCTCAAAAGAGACAACAAAATGACCACTCAAGGGTGCTTCTAAAATTCGGCCAAGCCTCCTTTATATAGGCTTGAATTTTTCGGCCAGCACCTCTAAAAAGAAGACCAATTAGGACTCTCTCGATCTTATCTCACAAGGAGTAAAAGTAGAAGAGTATTTGATCTCTTTGACTCTATCTAAAATCTAGGAAACCTTATCTAAATCACTTATCCTCAAGTAGGATAATATCTAGAAGGAATCTAAGACTCCTAATCAAAACACTCTAGCTTAATTCAGTCCACATGACTTATTTAACTAGATAAAATTCGAAAATAACTCCTAGACTTAGACAATGACTCTAATCTCGAAATTCAGCTCCAAATTATTGAAGTAAAATGTCTTGAACCCCCTTCCAAAAGTGGAATATTGGTCTTGCAAAAGGAACAGGTATGATTTTAATGCTTTTTCGTGATAATTCTGTTTTACTAACCAAAGTTCCTAGCAATTTGCCTAAGGTGTTTCAAAGGCTACTTCAAGAGTACGAGGATATATTCCCTGAGGAGTTGCCTAATGAACTTCCTCCTATACGAGGAATAGAACATCAAATTGATCTAATTCTGGCGCAGTCATCCCGAATAGACTGCATATAGAGCAAATCCTGAGGAAACAAAGGAACTACAAAAGCAAGTTGAAGAACTCCTTGCTAAAGGTCAAATTCAAGAATCTCTCAGCCTTGTGCTGTTCCTGTTTTACTTGTGCCTAAGAAAGATGGTACGTGGCGTATGTGCATAGATTGTCGTGCTGTTAATAAGATAACTATTAAGTATAGACATCCAATCCCTAGATTAGATGATATGCTTGAAGATCTTTATGGTGCTACTATCTTTTCTAAAGTGGATTTAAAATCTGGCTACCATCAAATAAGAGTTAGACAAGGAGATGAATGGAAAACTGCTTTCAAAACAAAATTTGGTTTATATGAGTGGTTAGTGATGCCTTTTGGGTTAACTAATGCTCCTAGTACTTTCATGAGATTAATGAATCATGTTTTGAGGCATTATATTGGTAAGTTTGTTGTTGTATATTTTAATGATATTGATTTTGCTAATATTTTTAATGCTTGTGAGCAAAGTGTTTCTGAAAAGTTTTATAGACATGAAGGTTATCTATTTCGAGAAAATCGACTTTGTGTGCCTAAGTGTTTACTTCGAGAACTGTTGATACGCGAGGCACATAGTGGAGGTTTAATGGGACATTTTGGTGTGCCTAAGACTTTGGATGTGCTCCAAGAGCATTTCTTTTGGCCCAAAATGAAGTCTGACGTTCAAACTATCATCAATCAATGTGTGGAGTGTAAACAAGCGAAGTCCAAATTGCTTCCTCATGGACTTTACACGCCATTGCCTATCCCTACACAACCTTGGATGGACATATCTATGGACTTTATATTGGGTTTACCTAGAACTCAAAGAGGTATGGATTCTATCTTTGTAGTTGTGGATAGATTTTCTAAAATGTCGCATTTCATTGCTTGCAGAAAAACAGATGATGCACGTCATGTTGCGGATTTGTTTCTAAAAGAAATAGTAAGACTTCATGGTGTTCCAAGAACAATTGTTAGTGACAGGGACGTTAAGTTCCTTAGCTACTTTTGGAAATCGTTGTGGGGAAAGGTGGGTACTAAGTTGTTATTCAAGACAACTAGTCATCCACAAACCGATGGTCAAACTGAAGTGACGAATCGTACTTTAGGAGCTATCCTAAGAGCGATCATCAAGAGTAATTTGAAGAAATGGGAAGAGTGCTTACCTATTGCTGAATTTGCTTGTAATAGAACTGTTCACTCTTCTACTCAGTTTTTGCCTTTTGAAATTGTCTATGGTTTTAATCCGTTAACTCCTTTAGATTTATCACCTTTGCCTTTGAAGGATCAAGTTAGTTTGGATGGAGTTAAGAAAGCTGAGACAATCAAGAGACTGCATGAGAAAGTTCGCCTCAATATTGAGCGTAGGACTCAACAATATGTAAAGTCGGCGAATCGTGGTCGTAAACAAGTTGTATTTGAACCAGGTGATTGGGTTTGGGTACATATGAGAAAAGAGAGGTTTCCAAACTCTAGGAAATTGAAGTTACATCCTCGCGGAGATGGACCTTTTCAAGTAGTGTCAAGAGTCAACGACAACGCTTATAAACTTGCGCTACCAGGTGAGTTTAGTGCTACATTCAATGTTTCTGACCTATCTCCTTTTGATTTTGATGAAGGTTTGAATTCGAGGACAAATTCTCTTAAAGAAGGGGAGTATGATGGAGACCATCTAGCTAACACTAATGAAGAGGGACATGTTGCTGCCAATAATGGAGAAGACGAGCAAGTTGAGGTCGTGAATGCTAATGGAGGATCTAAAGATGCTGCTTTAAAGAATAATCCTTACATTCGTGATCCACTTTCAAACATTGTTGGACCAATGACTCGTGCTAGACGCAAGAGGATGAATGAATCACTTAATAGTCTAATTGTTACTACATGGGCTAAGGAGAAAATTAAGCTTGAAGATTACAAGCCCAAGACTATTAATTTGCTGCAAGTAACACCAAATGGACATGGCCCATTTGGAGAGAAGAATTTCGGCCCTCAATCCACAAAGGGACCGCCGGCCACCTTTCCTCATGTTGGTCGAATTTCTCCCTAAAGTTTAGGGGTAAGATCATTCAAATTTTATCTCTTTGAAAGAGAAGACTTTTATCTCTTTAAAGGATAATATTTGGGATGATTCTTTTTACTTGTTTTTCGAGTTTTCCTACAATAAGGAGTCAGCTTTTGATGTCTATTCAACCGTTGGATGAAGACTACATCATAATGGATGGCTAAGATCACTCTACAAAGAAGATCATGATAGAGTTTTAACTCAAGGGAGATTCTATCCATTGGAATCTTTCTAAGAGATTATCTCTTTGTATTTTGGAGTTTTAATTAATTCCTACAAGTCTTAAATGTTTTAAGACTAGTAAAAGTGTCTAGGTTCGTTATCTTATCACTTAAGATAACTAGGAGTCGTTAGAGTTTGATTTCATTTCAGATTCTTAGAGATAGGAATAGAGGTGAAGAGTTGTGTTCTTCCTCTACCTCTAGGATAGAAATTTCGGCCACCCCTCTATATAAAGGGACCGAAATCCTCTTGTCCAACACCTTTTGGTCATTTTGAAATTTTCCTGAGTGAAATTGGTTAGGATTTTATTCCTTTCGTGGAGTTCTTGTGAGGACTTCTTTGTTTGATTGTTGCATATGTGTTGTGACAATTGTTAGACTTATCTATCTTGTTTAGTTCGCTTGATAGTGGCGTCTATAGCATTGGACCTTTCGAATCTTTGTATTTGGGCTCATAGATCTCATATCTATTGGGTTTTCTTACACAATTTTCCAAAGGGTCTCTGCTTGATTAGAATTAGCTCTCTTCATTTTTGATTTGGGTTTTTCTACCATTGAACTCGTGGATTGATCCACGTGAGATCAAATATCTTTTCTTTTCTTTGTTTTCGTGTGTTCTAGAGTCTTTAAATCCGAATTTCCAAATTCCGCTGCCTACAAATCTCTGACTTTCCGAACTAGCAAAGTTGGTCTTTTCCTAAAGATTGGTTTTGTTACGGATTGCTATCATAATTTTGGTATTCAGAGCCTTCTTATGGTTTTACCATAGTTGGCATATTTAGAGCCATAATTTGGTATATCAAGAGTCATCTTTGGTTACCATAATTGGTCTCAAAATTCGGATTTTTTTGTTCTTCTTGTTTTCTTCCTCTCTTCGAATTTCCTCTCCCAAAAGAGGGTATTCATAATATTTTGTTTTTGAGTTGTTCACCACTTGGACAATTCCTTTTAGTTTCGTGCCTTTCGTTTTGTCATCATCCAATAGCAAACTTTGGTGATTGTGTTTGATATATATCTCTCGTTCCAAGATCTCTATATCTTGAGGGTGATTGATGTTCATTCATTGATTGTTGGAGGAGCTTTTGTGTTGAAGGTGTTTGTTTGAATTTGGCCGTACAAAAAAAAAAAAAATTTGTTGAGTCTAGGGTTTCGGCCGCCCCCAAAAAAAAAAAAAAAAAAAAAAGAGAAAGCCGTACAAAAAAAAAAGAGGACGGCAAAGAAAAAAAAAAAAAAGAAGAAAAAAAAAGGGAGTCTTCTTTGATTGGCTACATTAAAGGTTGCCTTGCATTAGGAGATTTCAAAAGAGTTGGAAGTGAAGTTGGAAAGAATCTTCTTGAAGAGGTATATTCAAAGTCTATCTCTATCTAAGAAGGTTAGATAAAGTTGTGTTTGATTGGGAGTTTATCTTTGCTATTTAGTTGCCTATATTCTTTCAAAAGATAAGATTCTCTTCAAATCTTATCCTAATCTTATCTTATTGGATAAAACCTTATCCTATCTTATTGGATAAAACCTTATCCTTATCTCATCTTATAAAAGATAAGATTCTCTTTAAATCTTATCCTTATCTTATCTTGTAAAAGATAAAATTTTATCCTAATCTTATCTTAATTGGATAAACCTTATCCTTATCCTATCTTATTGGATAAAATCTTATCCTTATCTCATCTTGTAAAGATAAGATTCTCTTTAAAGCTTATCCTTATCTTATCTTGTAAAAGATAAGATTCTCATAAAATCTTATCCTTATCCTATAAGAGTTTGAGTTTGAGTTAGAGTCTGAGATATCATTTGAGTTTGCTTATACTTCTAAAGCGAGATCCCTATTTTTTTCTCCAAACACTCGAACGAGATTCGTGTTCTCCTCGTTCTTTTCTGGAATTTCCTAAATTTACTCTACGTGCTATTTGACTTTGTCTGCTTTTGAGTGATTTATTCGAGTGGATTGTTTAATTAATTGTTGTGGTGCATATTGCTACTACTTGAACATTGAAGCCGATCTGGAACTTTACCAAAGGTCTTTGAGTGGTAAAAGGCTTGAGTGTTTTCTTTCTATTCCACTTTGATATTGGGGAAAAGCCAAATAAATCCCAAAGAGAGCATACAAAAGGTGAGTTGTGTGTGATACTACCAAAAGAGGGAAAAGTAAAAGATCATTGGTTAGAGGAAGTGAGGTAGGAACGTTTTCTACTAACATCCTATATATTCGTTTGTTCTTTGATCTTAAAGGATGTCATCCGGAGATGATAGTGAACAAAGAGACGACCGTTCTCAAGATGCTATGCGAGAAACTCTTGCTAGATTGTATAATGTTACTACTCAACTATGTAGTAGAATACAAGATCTAGAACTAGAGGTTCGCAATGGTCGTGCTCAAGGTAATGAAGGTAATGAAAATCGTAATAGAGCTCATCGTGTTGTCAATAGGAATGATCCTTATGAACTTGGTAATTTCAAAGTTAAAATTCCTGAATTTAGTGGTACTAATGACCCCGAAGCCTATCTTACATGGGAAAAGAAGGTAGAGCGTGCTTTTCATTGCAGGATTATGATGATTCTAAGAAGATTAGAATGGCCGTTTACCAATTCAATAACTATGCTTCGAATGGTGGGACCAAGTTGTCAAGGATAGGAAGCTCTATGATGAGGATCCCGTATCCACATGGGATGAAATGAAAAGACTCATGCGCAAAAGGTTTGTTCCCTCTTATTATTATCGAGATTTGTGTAAACAAATTCAAAGTCTTTCACAGGGAACCAAGTCTGTTGATGAGTACTACCAAGAGTTAGAGTTGGCATTGATACGTGCAAATATTAAAGAGGAACCTGAAGCTATGATGGCGAGGTTTCTAGGAGGACTTAACAAAAACATTGCCGATGTTGTGGAGCTTTCACACTACCTAGATCCAACTGAGATGTTACACAAAGCTAGGATCGTGGAGAGACAATTGGCAAAGAAGAAGTCAGATTCACATAAGTCTTCTACACCATGGAAAAAAGATGATTCAAAGAAGTATGGTAATTCTTCAAAGTTAGAGAAGGAAGTAGTTCTAACGCTTCTAATACTTCTAATATTCCTAAACCATCTTCTAATGTTAAGAATTCTACTTCATCTAGTAATACTAACAAAGTCGAACTAGAGATGTTACTTGTTTCAAATGTCGTGACGAGGACATATAGCTTCGCTTGTCCAACTTTAAAGACTATGATCCTTAAAGAGGATGGAAGTTTCAAAGTGAAACAGATGAAGAAGATGACGAGATGCCAAGACTTGTTGAGAAAGTCGAAAAGAAGTTGTAGAGATTGATGCCGAGGCTGGACAAGTGTTTGTCAACCTTCGAGCATTACAAACTCAAGTAGCTGAAGATGATCATCGAGACACAATATTTTCCATACTAAGTGTCGAGTTATGGACAAGGTATGCTTAACTATTATAGATCCAAGATCGTGTACTAATGTTGCTAGTTCATATCTTGTAGATAATCTGAAGTTACCTACTATCAAGCATCCGACACCCTATCGGTTGCAATGGTTGAATGATTGTGGCAATCTTAGAGTCACTAGGCAAGTGAATGTGCCATTCTCTATTGGAAAATATGAGGATGAAGTACTTTGTGATGTGGTACCTATGGAGGCAAGCCACCTACTTTTAGGACGACCATGGGGGTATGATCGAAGAGTAAAGCATGATGGATACAAAAACAAGTATTCGTTTGTAATGAATGGTCATAGCTATACCCTGAAACCTCTTTCACCTCCTCAAGTTCAAGAATGTAATCTGAGAATGATGCGAGAAAGAGAGAAACGAATGAAAGAGCAGAGTCCTAATGATGAATCTACTTTGGACGTTCCAAAGAGATCTTCAAATGATCTACAAATTCGAGAGCCAGTGATAGCAATCTCGTAGACGAAGCAAATTTCGTTAATGCAACCATCAACAAGAAAGTACGAAGATAATTTTGTCTATCCCGTGAAACTCAAAAGAGTGCGGAAAATTCACAGTAAGACGATCGTTTATCTAAGTGATTCTATCTCTTAACTCAAACCAAGCAAAGAACACATCATCCATGAAAGATTCGAATTAAACAACAACCCACGCTAAGAATAGCAAGGACACCATTCAATATACTCGATCAGTCATTAATCAAGAGACTCAAGAAAGGTAGGAGCAAACAATGCCCAACTATGAAGGAATACTATTAATTAGTAATCTTCATAACCAACCAAAGATATGCAACACATACACTATCTCAAAATGCTTATGCCAAAGCACAACTCATCCCAACAAAAGTAGGACAAACCCCACAATGGATCTCATGAACACACTCATCATGAAATTCGAACACCAAGCCAAAGGAAAGGCTCATCAATCGAACTACTAGAAGTAGTATGAAAATAAGAAGTTTAATTTTAAAACAATTCTATCAAGAAGCATACTTGAAAAGAATGGTTTCGCAAGATCAAAAGATCCAAGACAAGATGAAAACCCTCTTGGTTTAAACATACTTGACACGAAAAATGGACACTCCATTTAACAAAAATTCCTCACAGAAAAACTCTCAAAAGAGACAACAAAATGACCACTCAAGGGTGCTTCTAAAATTCGGCCAAGCCTCCTTTATATAGGCTTGAATTTTCGGCCAGCACCTCTAAAAAGAAGACCAATTAGGACTCTCTGATCTTATCTCACAAGGAGTAAAAGTAGAAGAGTATTTGATCTCTTTGACTCTATCTAAAATCTAGGAAACCTTATCTAAATCACTTATCCTCAAGTAGGATAATATCTAGAAGGAATCTAAGACTCCTAATCAAAACACTCTAGCTTAATTCAGTCCACATGACTTATTTAACTAGATAAAATTCGAAAATAACTCCTAGACTTAGACAATGACTCTAATCTCGAAATTCAGCTCCAAATTATTGAAGTAAAATGTCTTGAACCCCCTTCCAAAAGTGGAATATTGGTCTTGCAAAAGGAACAGGTATGATTTTAATGCTTTTTCGTGATAATTCTGTTTTACTAACCAAAGTTCCTAGCAATTTGCCTAAGGTGTTTCAAAGGCTACTTCAAGAGTACGAGGATATATTCCCTGAGGAGTTGCCTAATGAACTTCCTCCTATACGAGGAATAGAACATCAAATTGATCTAATTCCTGGCGCAGTCATCCCGAATAGACCTGCATATAGAGCAAATCCTGAGGAAACAAAGGAACTACAAAAGCAAGTTGAAGAACTCCTTGCTAAAGGTCAAATTCGAGAATCTCTCACCTTGTGCTGTTCTGTTTTACTTGTGCCTAAGAAAGATGGTACGTGGCGTATGTGCATAGATTGTCGTGCTGTTAATAAGATAACTATTAAGTATAGACATCCAATCCCTAGATTAGATGATATGCTTGAAGATCTTTATGGTGCTACTATCTTTTCTAAAGTGGATTTAAAATCTGGCTACCATCAAATAAGAGTTAGACAAGGAGATGAATGGAAAACTGCTTTCAAAACAAAATTTGGTTTATATGAGTGGTTAGTGATGCCTTTTGGGTTAACTAATGCTCCTAGTACTTTCATGAGATTAATGAATCATGTTTTGAGGCATTATATTGGTAAGTTTGTTGTTGTATATTTTAATGATATTGATTTTGCTAATATTTTTAATGCTTGTGAGCAAAGTGTTTCTGAAAAGTTTTATAGACATGAAGGTTATCTATTTCGAGAAAATCGACTTTGTGTGCCTAAGTGTTTACTTCGAGAACTGTTGATACGCGAGGCGCATAGTGGAGGTTTAATGGGACATTTTGGTGTGCCTAAGACTTTGGATGTGCTCCAAGAGCATTTCTTTTGGCCCAAAATGAAGTCTGACGTTCAAACTATCATCAATCAATGTGTGGAGTGTAAACAAGCGAAGTCCAAATTGCTTCCTCATGGACTTTACACGCCATTGCCTATCCCTACACAACCTTGGATGGACATATCTATGGACTTTATATTGGGTTTACCTAGAACTCAAAGAGGTATGGATTCTATCTTTGTAGTTGTGGATAGATTTTCTAAAATGTCGCATTTCATTGCTTGCAGAAAAACAGATGATGCACGTCATGTTGCGGATTTGTTTCTAAAAGAAATAGTAAGACTTCATGGTGTTCCAAGAACAATTGTTAGTGACAGGGACGTTAAGTTCCTTAGCTACTTTTGGAAATCGTTGTGGGGAAAGGTGGGTACTAAGTTGTTATTCAGCACAACTAGTCATCCACAAACTGATGGTCAAACTGAAGTGACGAATCGTACTTTAGGAGCTATCCTAAGAGCGATCATCAAGAGTAATTTGAAGAAATGGGAAGAGTGCTTACCTATTGCTGAATTTGCTTGTAATAGAACTGTTCACTCTTCTACTCAGTTTTTGCCTTTTGAAATTGTCTATGGTTTTAATCCGTTAACTCCTTTAGATTTATCACCTTTGCCTTTGAAGGATCAAGTTAGTTTGGATGGAGTTAAGAAAGCTGAGACAATCAAGAGACTGCATGAGAAAGTTCGCCTCAATATTGAGCGTAGGACTCAACAATATGTAAAGTCGGCGAATCGTGGTCGTAAACAAGTTGTATTTGAACCAGGTGATTGGGTTTGGGTACATATGAGAAAAGAGAGGTTTCAAACTCTAGGAAATTGAAGTTACATCCTCGCGGAGATGGACCTTTTCAAGTAGTGTCAAGAGTCAACGACAACGCTTATAAACTTGCGCTACCAGGTGAGTTTAGTGCTACATTCAATGTTTCTGACCTATCTCCTTTTGATTTTGATGAAGGTTTGAATTCGAGGACAAATTCTCTTAAAGAAGGGGAGTATGATGGAGACCATCTAGCTAACACTAATGAAGAGGGACATGTTGCTGCCAATAATGGAGAAGACGAGCAAGTTGAGGTCGTGAATGCTAATGGAGGATCTAAAGATGCTGCTTTAAAGAATAATCCTTACATTCGTGATCCACTTTCAAACATTGTTGGACCAATGACTCGTGCTAGACGCAAGAGGATGAATGAATCACTTAATAGTCTAATTGTTACTACATGGGCTAAGGAGAAAATTAAGCTTGAAGATTACAAGCCCAAGACTATTAATTTGCTGCAAGTAACACCAAATGGACATGGCCCATTTGGAGAGAAGAATTTCGGCCCTCAATCCACAAAGGGACCGCCGGCCACCTTTCCTCATGTTGGTCGAATTTCTCCCTAAAGTTTAGGGGTAAGATCATTCAAATTTTATCTCTTTGAAAGAGAAGACTTTTATCTCTTTAAAGGATAATATTTGGGATGATTCTTTTTACTTGTTTTTCGAGTTTTCCTACAATAAGGAGTCAGCTTTTGATGTCTATTCAACCGTTGGATGAAGACTACATCATAATGGATGGCTAAGATCACTCTACAAAGAAGATCATGATAGAGTTTTAACTCAAGGGAGATTCTATCCATTGGAATCTTTCTAAGAGATTATCTCTTTGTATTTTGGAGTTTTAATTAATTCCTACAAGTCTTAAATGTTTTAAGACTAGTAAAAGTGTCTAGGTTCGTTATCTTATCACTTAAGATAACTAGGAGTCGTTAGAGTTTGATTTCATTTCAGATTCTTAGAGATAGGAATAGAGGTGAAGAGTTGTGTTCTTCCTCTACCTCTAGGATAGAAATTTCGGCCACCCCTCTATATAAAGGGACCGAAATCCTCTTGTCCAACACCTTTTGGTCATTTTGAAATTTTCCTGAGTGAAATTGGTTAGGATTTTATTCCTTTCGTGGAGTTCTTGTGAGGACTTCTTTGTTTGATTGTTGCATATGTGTTGTGACAATTGTTAGACTTATCTATCTTGTTTAGTTCGCTTGATAGTGGCGTCTATAGCATTGGACCTTTCGAATCTTTGTATTTGGGCTCATAGATCTCATATCTATTGGGTTTTCTTACACAATTTTCCAAAGGGTCTCTGCTTGATTAGAATTAGCTCTCTTCATTTTTGATTTGGGTTTTCTACCATTGAACTCGTGGATTGATCCACGTGAGATCAAATATCTTTTCTTTTCTTTGTTTTCGTGTGTTCTAGAGTCTTTAAATCCGAATTTCCAAATTCCGCTGCCTACAAATCTCTGACTTTCCGAACTAGCAAAGTTGGTCTTTTCCTAAAGATTGGTTTTGTTACGGATTGCTATCATAATTTTGGTATTCAGAGCCTTCTTATGGTTTTACCATAGTTGGCATATTTAGAGCCATAATTTGGTATATCAAGAGTCATCTTTGGTTACCATAATTGGTCTCAAAATTCGGATTTTTTTGTTCTTCTTGTTTTCTTCCTCTCTTGAATTTCCTCTCCCAAAAGAGGGTATTCATAATATTTTGTTTTTGAGTTGTTCACCACTTGGACAATTCCTTTTAGTTTCGTGCCTTTCGTTTTGTCATCATCCAATAGCAAACTTTGGTGATTGTGTTTGATATATATCTCTCGTTCCAAGATCTCTATATCTTGAGGGTGATTGATGTTCATTCATTGATTGTTGGAGGAGCTTTTGTGTTGAAGGTGTTTGTTTGAATTTGGCCGTACAAAAAAAAAAAAAATTTGTTGAGTCTAGGGTTTCGGCCGCCCCAAAAAAAAAAAAAAAAAAAAAAAAGCCGTACAAAAAAAAAAAGAGGACGGCAAAGAAAAAAAAAAAAGAAGAGAAAAAAAAAGGGAGTCTTCTTTGATTGGCTACATTAAAGGTTGCCTTGCATTAGGAGATTTCAAAAGAGTTGGAAGTGAAGTTGGAAAGAATCTTCTTGAAGAGGTATATTCAAAGTCTATCTCTATCTAAGAAGGTTAGATAAAGTTGTGTTTGATTGGGAGTTTATCTTTGCTATTTAGTTGCCTATATTCTTTCAAAAGATAAGATTCTCTTCAAATCTTATCCTAATCTTATCTTATTGGATAAAACCTTATCCTATCTTATTGGATAAAACCTTATCCTTATCTCATCTTATAAAAGATAAGATTCTCTTTAAATCTTATCCTTATCTTATCTTGTAAAAGATAAAATTTTATCCTAATCTTATCTTAATTGGATAAACCTTATCCTTATCCTATCTTATTGGATAAAATCTTATCCTTATCTCATCTTGTAAAGATAAGATTCTCTTTAAAGCTTATCCTTATCTTATCTTGTAAAAGATAAGATTCTCATAAAATCTTATCCTTATCCTATAAGAGTTTGAGTTTGAGTTAGAGTCTGAGATATCATTTGAGTTTGCTTATACTTCTAAAGCGAGATCCCTATTTTTTTCTCCAAACACTCGAACGAGATTCGTGTTCTCCTCGTTCTTTTCTGGAATTTCCCTAAATTTACTCTACGTGCTATTTGACTTTGTCTGCTTTTGAGTGATTTATTCGAGTGGATTGTTTAATTAATTGTTGTGGTGCATATTGCTACTACTTGAACATTGAAGCCGATCTGGAACTTTACCAAAGGTCTTTGAGTGGTAAAAGGCTTGAGTGTTTTCTTTCTATTCCACTTTGATATTGGGGAAAAAGCCAAATAAATCCCAAAGAGAGCATACAAAAGGTGAGTTGTGTGTGATACTACCAAAAGAGGGGAAAAGTAAAAGATCATTGGTTAGAGGAAGTGAGGTAGGAACGTTTTCTACTAACATCCTATATATTCGTTTGTTCTTTGATCTTAAAGGATGTCATCTGGAGATGATAGTGAACAAAGAGACGACCGTTCTCAAGATGCTATGCGAGAAACTCTTGCTAGATTGTATAATGTTACTACTCAACTATGTAGTAGAATACAAGATCTAGAACTAGAGGTTCGCAATGGTCGTGCTCAAGGTAATGAAGGTAATGAAAATCGTAATAGAGCTCATCGTGTTGTCAATAGGAATGATCCTTATGAACTTGGTAATTTCAAAGTTAAAATTCCTGAATTTAGTGGTACTAATGACCCTGAAGCCTATCTTACATGGGAAAAGAAGGTAGAGCGTGCTTTTTCATTGCAGGATTATGATGATTCTAAGAAGATTAGAATGGCCGTTTACCAATTCAATAACTATGCTTCAGAATGGTGGGACCAAGTTGTCAAGGATAGGAAGCTCTATGATGAGGATCCCGTATCCACATGGGATGAAATGAAAAGACTCATGCGCAAAAGGTTTGTTCCTCTTATTATTATCGAGATTTGTGTAAACAAATTCAAAGTCTTTCACAGGGAACCAAGTCTCATTGATGAGTACTACCAAGAGTTAGAGTTGGCATTGATACGTGCAAATATTAAAGAGGAACCTGAAGCTATGATGGCGAGGTTTCTAGGAGGACTTAACAAAAACATTGCCGATGTTGTGGAGCTTTCACACTACCTAGATCCAACTGAGATGTTACACAAAGCTAGGATCGTGGAGAGACAATTGGCAAAGAAGAAGTCAGATTCACATAAGTCTTCTACACTATGGAAAAAGATGATTCAAAGAAGTATGGTAATTCTTCAAAGTTAGAGAAGGAAGTAGTTCTAACGCTTCTAATACTTCTAATATTCCTAAACCATCTTCTAATGTTAAGAATTCTACTTCATCTAGTAATACTAACAAAGTCAGAACTAGAGATGTTACTTGTTTCAAATGTCAGGGACGAGGACATATAGCTTCTGCTTGTCCAACTTTAAAGACTATGATCCTTAAAGAGGATGGAAGTTTCGAAAGTGAAACAGATGAAGAAGATGACGAGATGCCAAGACTTGTTGAGAAAGTCGAAAAAGAAGTTGTAGAGATTGATGCTGAGGCTGGACAAGTGTTTGTCAACCTTCGAGCATTACAAACTCAAGTAGCTGAAGATGATCATCAGAGACACAATATTTTCCATACTAAGTGTCGAGTTATGGACAAGGTATGCTTAACTATTATAGATCCAAGATCGTGTACTAATGTTGCTAGTTCATATCTTGTAGATAATCTGAAGTTACCTACTATCAAGCATCCGACACCCTATCGGTTGCAATGGTTGAATGATTGTGGCAATCTTAGAGTCACTAGGCAAGTGAATGTGCCATTCTCTATTGGAAAATATGAGGATGAAGTACTTTGTGATGTGGTACCTATGGAGGCAAGCCACCTACTTTTAGGACGACCATGGGGGTATGATCGAAGAGTAAAGCATGATGGATACAAAAACAAGTATTCGTTTGTAATGAATGGTCATAGCTATACCACAGAAACCTCTTTCACCTCCTCAAGTTCAAGAATGTAATCTGAGAATGATGCGAGAAAGAGAGAAACGAATGAAAGAGCAGAGTCCTAATGATGAATCTACTTTGGACGTTCCAAAGAGATCTTCAAATGATCTACAAATTCGAGAGCCGTGATAGCAATCTCGTAGACGAAGCAAATTTCGTTAATGCAACCATCAACAAGAAAGTACGAAGATAATTTTGTCTATCCCGTGAAACTCAAAAGAGTGCGGAAAATTCACAAGAAGACGATCGTTTATCTAAGTGATTCTATCTCTTAACTCAAACCAAGCAAAGAACACATCATCCATGAAAGATTCGAATTAAACAACAACCCACGCTAAGAATAGCAAGGACACCATTCAATATACTCGATCAGTCATTAATCAAGAGACTCAAGAAAGGTAGGAGCAAACAATGCCCAACTATGAAGGAATACTATTAATTAGTAATCTTCATAACCAACCAAAGATATGCAACACATACACTATCTCAAAATGCTTATGCCAAAGCACAACTCATCCCAACAAAAGTAGGACAAACCCCACAATGGATCTCATGAACACACTCATCATGAAATTCGAACACCAAGCCAAAGGAAAGGCTCATCAATCGAACTACTAGAAGTAGTATGAAAATAAGAAGTTTAATTTTAAAACAATTCTATCAAGAAGCATACTTGAAAAAGAATGGTTTCTGCAAGATCAAAAGATCCAAGACAAGATGAAAACCCTCTTGGTTTAAACATACTTGACACGAAAAATGGACACTCCATTTAACAAAAATTCCTCACAGGAAAAACTCTCAAAAGAGACAACAAAAATGACCACTCAAGGGTGCTTCTAAAATTCGGCCAAGCCTCCTTTATATAGGCTTGAATTTTTCGGCCAGCACCTCTAAAAAGAAGACCAATTAGGACTCTCTGATCTTATCTCACAAGGAGTAAAAGTAGAAGAGTATTTGATCTCTTTGACTCTATCTAAAATCTAGGAAACCTTATCTAAATCACTTATCCTCAAGTAGGATAATATCTAGAAGGAATCTAAGACTCCTAATCAAAACACTCTAGCTTAATTCAGTCCACATGACTTATTTAACTAGATAAAATTCGAAAATAACTCCTAGACTTAGACAATGACTCTAATCTCGAAATTCAGCTCCAAATTATTGAAGTAAAATGTCTTGAACCCCCTTCCAAAAGTGGAATATTGGTCTTGCAAAAGGAACAGGTATGATTTTAATGCTTTTTCGTGATAATTCTGTTTTACTAACCAAAGTTCCTAGCAATTTGCCTAAGGTGTTTCAAAGGCTACTTCAAGAGTACGAGGATATATTCCCTGAGGAGTTGCCTAATGAACTTCCTCCTATACGAGGAATAGAACATCAAATTGATCTAATTCTGGCGCAGTCATCCCGAATAGACCTGCATATAGAGCAAATCCTGAGGAAACAAAGGAACTACAAAAGCAAGTTGAAGAACTCCTTGCTAAAGGTCAAATTCGAGAATCTCTCAGCCCTTGTGCTGTTCCTGTTTTACTTGTGCCTAAGAAAGATGGTACGTGGCGTATGTGCATAGATTGTCGTGCTGTTAATAAGATAACTATTAAGTATAGACATCCAATCCCTAGATTAGATGATATGCTTGAAGATCTTTATGGTGCTACTATCTTTTCTAAAGTGGATTTAAAATCTGGCTACCATCAAATAAGAGTTAGACAAGGAGATGAATGGAAAACTGCTTTCAAAACAAAATTTGGTTTATATGAGTGGTTAGTGATGCCTTTTGGGTTAACTAATGCTCCTAGTACTTTCATGAGATTAATGAATCATGTTTTGAGGCATTATATTGGTAAGTTTGTTGTTGTATATTTTAATGATATTGATTTTGCTAATATTTTTAATGCTTGTGAGCAAAGTGTTTCTGAAAAGTTTTATAGACATGAAGGTTATCTATTTCGAGAAAATCGACTTTGTGTGCCTAAGTGTTTACTTCGAGAATCGTTGATACGCGAGGCGCATAGTGGAGGTTTAATGGGACATTTTGGTGTGCCTAAGACTTTGGATGTGCTCCAAGAGCATTTCTTTTGGCCCAAAATGAAGTCTGACGTTCAAACTATCATCAATCAATGTGTGGAGTGTAAACAAGCGAAGTCCAAATTGCTTCCTCATGGACTTTACACGCCATTGCCTATCCCTACACAACCTTGGATGGACATATCTATGGACTTTATATTGGGTTTACCTAGAACTCAAAGAGGTATGGATTCTATCTTTGTAGTTGTGGATAGATTTTCTAAAATGTCGCATTTCATTGCTTGCAGAAAAACAGATGATGCACGTCATGTTGCGGATTTGTTTCTAAAAGAAATAGTAAGACTTCATGGTGTTCCAAGAACAATTGTTAGTGACAGGGACGTTAAGTTCCTTAGCTACTTTTGGAAATCGTTGTGGGGAAAGGTGGGTACTAAGTTGTTATTCAGCACAACTAGTCATCCACAAACTGATGGTCAAACTGAAGTGACGAATCGTACTTTAGGAGCTATCCTAAGAGCGATCATCAAGAGTAATTTGAAGAAATGGGAAGAGTGCTTACCTATTGCTGAATTTGCTTGTAATAGAACTGTTCACTCTTCTACTCAGTTTTTGCCTTTTGAAATTGTCTATGGTTTTAATCCGTTAACTCCTTTAGATTTATCACCTTTGCCTTTGAAGGATCAAGTTAGTTTGGATGGAGTTAAGAAAGCTGAGACAATCAAGAGATCGCATGAGAAAGTTCGCCTCAATATTGAGCGTAGGACTCAACAATATGTAAAGTCGGCGAATCGTGGTCGTAAACAAGTTGTATTTGAACCAGGTGATTGGGTTTGGGTACATATGAGAAAGAGAGGTTTCCAAACTCTAGGAAATTGAAGTTACATCCTCGCGGAGATGGACCTTTTCAAGTAGTGTCAAGAGTCAACGACAACGCTTATAAACTTGCGCTACCAGTGAGTTTAGTGCTACATTCAATGTTTCGACCTATCTCCTTTTGATTTTGATGAAGGTTTGAATTCGAGGACAAATTCTCTTAAAGAAGGGGAGTATGATGGAGACCATCTAGCTAACACTAATGAAGAGGGACATGTTGCTGCCAATAATGGAGAAGACGAGCAAGTTGAGGTCGTGAATGCTAATGGAGGATCTAAAGATGCTGCTTTAAAGAATAATCCTTACATTCGTGATCCACTTTCAAACATTGTTGGACCAATGACTCGTGCTAGACGCAAGAGGATGAATGAATCACTTAATAGTCTAATTGTTACTACATGGGCTAAGGAGAAAATTAAGCTTGAAGATTACAAGCCCAAGACTATTAATTTGCTGCAAGTAACACCAAATGGACATGGCCCATTTGGAGAGAAGAATTTCGGCCCTCAATCCACAAAGGGACCGCCGGCCACCTTTCCTCATGTTGGTCGAATTTCTCCCTAAAGTTTAGGGGGTAAGATCATTCAAATTTTATCTCTTTGAAAGAGAAGACTTTTATCTCTTTAAAGGATAATATTTGGGATGATTCTTTTTTACTTGTTTTTCGAGTTTTCCTACAATAAGGAGTCAGCTTTTGATGTCTATTCAACCGTTGGATGAAGACTACATCATAATGGATGGCTAAGATCACTCTACAAAGAAGATCATGATAGAGTTTTAACTCAAGGGAGATTCTATCCATTGGAATCTTTCTAAGAGATTATCTCTTTGTATTTTGGAGTTTTAATTAATTCCTACAAGTCTTAAATGTTTTAAGACTAGTAAAAGTGTCTAGGTTCGTTATCTTATCACTTAAGATAACTAGGAGTCGTTAGAGTTTGATTTCATTTCAGATTCTTAGAGATAGGAATAGAGGTGAAGAGTTGTGTTCTTCCTCTACCTCTAGGATAGAAATTTCGGCCACCCCCTCTATATAAAGGGACCGAAATCCTCTTGTCCAACACCTTTTGGTCATTTTGAAATTTTCCTGAGTGAAATTGGTTAGGATTTTATTCCTTTCGTGGAGTTCTTGTGAGGACTTCTTTGTTTGATTGTTGCATATGTGTTGTGACAATTGTTAGACTTATCTATCTTGTTTAGTTCGCTTGATAGTGGCGTCTATAGCATTGGACCTTTCGAATCTTTGTATTTGGGCTCATAGATCTCATATCTACTGGGTTTTCTTACACAATTTTCCAAAGGGTCTCTGCTTGGTTAGAATTAGCTCTCTTCATTTTTGATTTGGGTTTTTCTACCCTTGAACTCGTGAATTGATCCACGTGAGATCAAATATCTTTTCTTTTCTTTGTTTTCGTGTGTTCTAGAGTCTTTAAATCCGAATTTCCAAATTCCGCTGCCTACAAATCTCTGACTTTCCGAACTAGCAAAGTTGGCCTTTTCCTAAAGATTGGTTTTGTTACGGATTGCTATCACATCAGGTATTTAATCAATAAAAAGGAATCTAAGCCTAGATTGATCCGATGGGTGTTACTGTTGCAGGAATTCGATTTGGAGATAAAAGACAGAAAGGGTGCTGAAAATCAAGTGGCAGACCATCTGTCAAGACTTGAAGAGATTTCAGAAGATACAACTCCAATTTCAAACAAATACCCTGATGAGTCACTCTGGCGAGTGACAGGCACACTCATGGGAGTGACAGGTAACAGACCCTGGTTTGCATATTTTGCTAATTTTCTTGCTACTGGTGTTATTCCTACAGATTTCACTCCTCAGTAGTGCAAAAGATTCCTTCATGATGCTTAGCTCTACCTGTGGGATGAACCCTACCTATTCAAGAGATGTGCAGACCAATTGATCAGAAGATGTATTCCAGAAACCGAATTTGCAGAAGTGTTGCACAGATGTCATAACTCTCCATATGGTAGACATTTCAGTGGTCAAAGGACAGCAATCAAGGTTCTGCAATCTGGACTGTATTGGCCTTCCCTGTTCAGAGATGCACGCAAATTTGTTAAGGGATGTGCAAGATGCCAGAGGACAGGAAACATTTCCTGGACGAATGAGATGCCACAACAGAACATGCTTGAAGTGGAACTGTTTGACGTATGGGGGATAGATTTCATGGTTCCTTTCATGTCATCCTTTGGAAATTCATACATCCTGCTGGCAGTGGACTATGTTTCAAAATGGATAGAAGCCGTAGCTACAAGAAACAGTGATGCCAAGACTGTTCTCAGGTTCTTAAGGAAAAACATCTTCACCAAATTCAGTACACCCAAAATGATAATCCACTTCTATAACAAGTCATTTGCAGCCATGGTAAAGAAATATGGGATCAGGCGCAGAGTATAAACACCATACCATCCACAGTCAAACGGGCTAGCAGAAGTGTCAAACAGGGAAGTGAAGAGAATCCTGGAAATAGTTGTCAACTCTACCAGGAAGAATTGGTCTTCAAGGTTGGATGAAGCTCTGTGGGCCTAAAGAACAGCCTATAAAACCCCCATTGGTATGTCTCCGTTTAAGCTGGTCTATGGGAAAGCATGCCACTTGCCAGTAGAATTGGAGCATAAGGCTTACTGGGCTGTTAAAGAACTAAATCTTGATCCAAGGGGAAGCAAGGAACTCAGATTGATGCAATTGAATGAGCTGGAAGAGTTTAGGCTGGAGGCATATGAATCATCCAGAGTTTACAAGGAGAAAACTAAGGCCTATCATGATCAGCATATTGTGAAGAAGAAACTGCAAGAAGGGCAAGAAGTCTTATTGTTCAATTCCAGGCTTAAGTTCTTTCCAGGAAAGTTGAAGTCAAGATGGACTAGCCCTTACAGAATCAACAAGGTGTTGAATCAAGGAGCAGTGGAAATCATGAATCCACAAAATGGCAATACCTTTTGGTTAATGGGCAGAGGCTAAAACTGTACCTTGGATTGACAGAAGGGAGTAAAGGACAGGACAGTCATGTTCTGGTCCTGAAGGAGCTTCACTAAAATTCTTTTGAAGTCTGGCATGGGACTTAAAACCAATGCGCTTTATGGGAGGCAACCCATACGTTTTGCTTTTGTGTGGCTAATTTTGTTGATATGCTAATTTTGCAGGAACGGAGGAGGTATTTGTCACCCCAATTTGATTTCAGAAAGTGCAAGCATAAAAGGCTTCAGGTAAACTCACTCTTGGGAGTGAAGAAGATCACTCAGCCGAGTGAACCTACAACAACTTGATTTTGTAAGTCATTCAAAGCCTGACGTCACTCACGCAAGTGAGGAATTCACTCGCCTGAGTAAGAACAACTGGACAACACTTTCTGCAATTTATTTTTTGAACTTCATTTTATAATTGAAGTTTGGGGGGAGAATTTCCCGAAATTTTTTAAATTCGAATTTAACCGCGTCCGTTTAAAGGCCCCCTTAGTTAGCCACAATTTTTGAGGTTTTAATTGCTTTTGCATTTAATTGAAACTCTTCCACTTCTTCGTCTTCTTCTTCCAAACTGAAACCCTTTGCCCCTTCAAATACCAGTCACCTGTGTGTGAACATACTAACCCTTTCTCTGAGATTTCAGGCAACTAAGGCAGAAATTCAGTTTAGACCAAAGTCACATTCAATTGACAATTCTGTTTTAGGGATGTTAAGTCATGCCGCCGGCCAGAAGAAAGGTTGCTGCCTGCAAAAATGTTTCCAACACTAAAAGACGGCAACCCTCGTCTTCTCCTGAAGTTTAGATAGAACCCACGCCACCATCCTCTCCTAAAAGGAAACCTTCCCCTGACGGGGAGCCTAATCGGCCGCCGCCCCCACCGCCACCAAGGGCTCTCCGAGACTAGGCCCTCAACGCTCTCACAGACGAGTGGGAGCCAAGACTCTTTCCCAGAAAAAAGGCCTGGGATTTCCTTCTAAAGCATCTAAAGCGGAAGATTATTATAGAGAGGGGAATCGGTGAAGACGGTGCAGCTTTTGCCTACATCAAGCGCCATGGATGGGAGACGTTCTCTAAGCCCCTTATTCAGCCCAGGACTCAGATTGTGCAAGAATTTTATGGCAATTTCTCCACCGCCCCCAGAGATGGAGTGTTTGTCTGGGGGATATCCGTCAACTGCAGCACAAAGGCTCTTAGGGCAATCTGGATATTGCCAAGAGTCAGTCAAGATTACAGAGACACCCTTGCTGCCCTGCATCCGAATCAGCCAGTGGAACAAGCTGTTCTTTCTAGATTGGCAAAGGAAGGTGCAGACTGGGAAAGGGATGATCAGGACAATCCCTTAGGATTCCCAGCTAATGCATTGCAGATGCCTGATCTGAACTTATGGCATCATTTCATCTGCTGCAACCTGATGCCGACATCCTACACTGCCAAGATTACCTATGAACAGGCTCTGCTGCTGTATGCCATTGTCACAGACACACCGTTTGATGCAGCATTAGTGATCAGGGATCAGCTTACCAGATGTATCACGGATCCCAAGGTAAAGAGCTGGTACTTCCCAGTTATGATCACCATGCTTTGCAGAAGGGCAGAGGTGACCTTTTTGAGCACAGACATTGAGAGCAGCCTACAACAACCTTTAAGGCTGTCTAAATTGGATCAGAGACCCCCAGGTGCATCTTCTTTAGGTCGAGCAGCATTTGCACCAACTCCGGCTGGACAGTTGAGGCAAAGAGACTTCAACAAGCAGACTCGGTTCATCCTGGATTATGTCCACCGATGCCAGACGAGGACTGATGAGAATCATATAGCCTTCCATGGAGGTTCTCCTAGTGAGGGGAATGAGTTAATCCTTCATTCTAGATTTGGAATGCCAAGTTTACTTTGCAGGCCAATCAAGGAAGAAAGGATGGATCTTGACTACCTATGTGATAGGGAGTTGGTTCAAGAGAGCTATGATCAAGGTGATGAGAATGTCATTAACTTTGGGGTGCAAACCAAAGGAGATGAAGACCTCATGGAAATAAGTGCTGAAGAGTATCAAGAGAGTTTGACTCTGTGTGCTCCATGAAGATCATTGATCAAAGCTAGTGAGAAGAGTCATTTAGGTTCATGAGTGGACGGCCTATTTGATCAAAGTGTTCAAGATTGAGTCCATTGCTACACAATTGGATAGGTTGCAAACTATCTTAATTGTTTCAAGTGTTTTTCCAATCTTTTGGAGTCAATAAGGTGAATTCTACAAGTTTTGGAGTAAATTGGAGGTTTCTACAACTTAAGGGGCGCAAGACCAATCTTGCACTTTTGGAAGGGCGTTCAAGACATTTTACTTCAATAATTTGGAGCTGAATTTCGAGATTAGAGTCATTGTCTAAGTCTAGGAGTTATTTTCGAATTTTATCTAGTTAAATAAGTCATGTGGACTGAATTAGGCTAGAGTGTTTTGATTAGGAGTCTTAGATTCCTTCTAGATATTATCCTACTTGAGGATAAGTGATTTAGATAAGGTTTCCTAGATTTTAGATAGAGTCAAAGAGATCAAGTACTCTTCTACTTTTACTCCTTGTGAGATAAGATTAGAGAGTCCGAATTGGTCTTCTTTTAGAGGTGCTGGCCGAAAAATTCAAGCCTATATAAAGGAGGCTTGGCCGAATTTTAGAAGCACCCTTGAGTGGTCATTTTTGTTGTCTCTTTTGAGAGTTTTTACTGTGAGGAATTTTTGTTAAATGGAGTGTCCATTTTTCGTGTCAAGTATGTTTAAACCAAGAGGGTTTTCATCTTGTCTTGGATCTTTTGATCTTGCGAAAACCATTCTTTTCAAGTATGCTTCTTGATAGAATTGTTTTAAAACTAAGCTTCTTATTTTCATACTACTTCTAGTAGTTCGATTGATGAGCCTTTCCTTTGGCTTGGTGTTCGAATTTCATGATGAGTGTGTTCATGAGATCCATTGTGGGGTTTGTCCTACTTTTGTTGGATGAGTTGTGCTTTGGCATAAGCATTTTTGAGATAGTGTATGTGTTGCATATCTTTGGTTGGTTATGAAGATTACTAATCAATAGTATTCCTTCATAGTTGGGCATTGTTTGCTCCTACCTTTCTTGAGTCTCTTGATTAATGACTGATCGAGTATATTGAATGGTGTCCTATATATAGGCTTGAATTTTTCGGCCAGCACCTCTAAAAAGAAGACCAATTAGGACTCTCTAATCTTATCTCACAAGGAGTAAAAGTAGAAGAGTACTTGATCTCTTTGACTCTATCTAAAATCTAGGAAACCTTATCTAAATCACTTATCCTCAAGTAGGATAATATCTAGAAGGAATCTAAGACTCCTAATCAAAACACTCTAGCCTAATTCAGTCCACATGACTTATTTAACTAGATAAAATTCGAAAATAACTCCTAGACTTAGACAATGACTCTAATCTCGAAATTCAGCTCCAAATTATTGAAGTAAAATGTCTTGAACGCCCTTCCAAAAGTGCAAGATTGGTCTTGCGCCCCTTAAGTTGTAGAAACCTCCAATTTACTCCAAAACTTGTAGAATTCACCTTATTGACTCCAAAAGATTGGAAAAACACTTGAAACAATTAAGATAGTTTGCAACCTATCCAATTGTGTAGCAATGGACTCAATCTTGAACACTTTGATCAAATAGGCCGTCCACTCATGAACCTAAATGACTCTTCTCACTAGCTTTGATCAATGATCTTCATGGAGCACACAGAGTCAAACTCTCTTGATACTCTTCAGCACTTATTTCCATGAGGTCTTCATCTCCTTTGGTTTGCACCCCAAAGTTAATGACATTCTCATCACCTTGATCATAGCTCTCTTGAACCAACTCCCTATCACATAGGTAGTCAAGATCCATCCTTTCTTCCTTGATTGGCCTGCAAAGTAAACTTGGCATTCCAAATCTAGAATGAAGGATTAACTCATTCCCTCACTAGGGAACCTCCATGGAAGGCTACATGATTCTCATCATCCCTCCTTCTTTAAGAGGATTCGTCCTCGAATCATCAACCTCTATACCTGCACAAGGAACAAACGAGATATAAGGGTTAGTAAAATCCTCACCCTCACTACACTCTGATTTTCTCTCATTGCGTGCATTTATTTCTTTTTCCACGCTATTTTCATGGTTTTCTCTCGCCTCAAGTCTTACCTCATCGTGACCCTTTTTACTTTCTTGCGTCACTCGCTCGACTTTTTCTCTCCCTTGTGTATAGGTTATATTACGTCTTTTCTCTCGCACAGATTCAGATTCTTCATAAGCCAAAGGCTTAAGAACATATTTTCTTTCCTCTTTAGTAAAGACAAAGATATTCTTAGAGCAATGGTGCACAGCATCTACATCCGACTGCCAAGGCCTACCTAGCAAAATATCACAAAGAGACATAGGAATTACATCAAAGTAAATTTCATCCCTATACTCACCAATCTGAAAAGGTACCATGGCCTTTTAGTAACATCCACAACCATCTCTTCACTCAACCATTGAAGCTTGTATGGTCTAGTATGCGGATCCATCTCAATTCCGTTTGCTATGCAAAATTCCTCACTTACACAATCAGTACTCGACCCACCGTCGATTACCAAATCAACTTCATTGGACCACCCAACCGAACACTTAGTACGGAAGATACAAGTCCGTTGATCTCCATCTTCAGCTCCAAACACCAACCCCGATCCTCAATTGGACCATTCCAACCACAAGAAGTATCATGCTCTCTTTCCACTTCTAAGGCAGCATAGTATGCCTCATAGAGCCTTGATTGTCTCCTTATCTTTGGATGTTGTTTGAAACACTTGTCCAAGCCATAGTGGAAACGGTCTGTCAACATGTAGTCATTCTCATCCACTTCGAACTCGAAACAACCCTCTAATTCCTCAAAGTAAGATTGAACGGATCTACCATTCTCGCTTACAATTGAGCAACTTCACTTTGCTTCATCAAAGGTGTTAGTACCAACATATCTTTCTCGCAAGCACTTCTCAAATCATTCCAATCATCCAAGTTACGAAACCAATAATGCGAATAGATATTTGAAACTAGCTTCCACCAATTCAAAGCATTAGAACGAAAACAACCTATAGCTAAGGCTATTTTCTCACTCTCTTTCTCTATGTTAAGCAACACAAACAAATTCTCTATGCTCTTTTCCCAAGTATCATATTCTCTATGACAACCATAAAACAAAGGCAATGACACTTGCAACATTCCAGCATACGAGGGTACTTGTTTAACTTCAAAACGATCACATAAGACTCTTAAATTTTCAGCAATTTTCTCAAAACTTACCATAGCTTTATCTTGCTGATTTGAAAGCATTTGAGACAAGTCTCGGTTTGCCTCCTTAACCTCGGCCAAAGCTTCATGTAGGAAGTCAATTTGACTCTTCATGAGCTGTACTTGAGCCTCCATGCGACCCTCTACACTCTTTGAAGCGATTTGTGTACAACCAGCAACTCCGTATGACATCTTTGCTCAACAATCTTGAGAATCCACCAACAAAAGAAGTAGTGTGCCTTGTTTACTACACAAAAACTCCTTGAACCCTAGAACCAAAGTATGGTTCGGCCAAAACCCCCCCAAGAACCAAAGGAAGGTTCAAATAAAGCTCTCCCCAAAAACAAAAACTCTCTTGTGCTTTTAAGAACACAACTCTCAAAAATTTTAGAATTAAAGAGAAGAGTGCTTCTCTTGCTTTTCTCTTTTGATCTCGGCAGCAAGAAAGAAGAAGAAAAATTGGAGTAGAGTGTGTGAGAATTTTCGAAAAACAGCACCCCTAGTTATAGGCAATGCAAGTCTTTTTGTGCAAGAAAACTCCTACAAGATAGGACCTAAATTTTCTCAAAAATATTCCCCCCTAATTGATGAAGGTTTGCTCGACAATGTGGAATAAAGAAGAAGAAAAACCGGCCTCATATATATAGACAAGGTTAGAGTCCTAAAACTTAGGTAAACATAATCCTTTTTGGACACAAATTAAGAAAACTCATCCCTACTTATTAGAGATAAAATTTTCGACCCCCCTACTACTAAAAGGACTCAAATACACGGCCACACACATGCACAAATGTATTAGAAGACTAAAATATTTTCAGATTAGGATAAGACTTCCTTATCTTAATAGTTTTCGAAAATAGACTCACTTTAAAACTCTAATTATAATCTTACTGAAATTATAATTTAACACATGCAAAAATTAGTATTTAAATCCAAGTAGGACTTAAATAAAACACACAATAAAATTGTATTACAATTAGGAAACAATGGCTGCAAATTTTCGGCCAATGTGAACACAAAAATCCAACACCGAATAGGACTCAAATCATAACACAATTTGGACTCAATGACCTTAATTTTAGAGCTAAAATTTTCGGCCATGTGAACACACAAATAGGTCTCCAAGTGTAACACAAATAGACAACCAAAATTCAAGTTCAACTAGAACTAGGAAAACCTAATTTTTAGCTTCACAATTTCGGTTATACTATGACTCTAAAATTCAAAACCAACTAGGCTTAGAATAACACATAAATCACACGCACACACATGCAAAAAGTCAGCAAAATTTCGGTCATTAACCTTTTACCACATAGTTAAAATTTGAAAAATTACTTTTGACTCACTTAAAAAGGAAACTTGAAAATTACCACTTTCCAAAAATGGACAACAACTTTTAGAATCTCTCTAAAAACCCTTTTCCAAATTGTACTTGGAATTAAAAATCACTTTTTACCAAAACAATCCATGGCAAATAAAGTAACAAGAACACCATAATTATAATTCAATTATGACATTTGCTTCATAATACTAAATTTAACACAAATCATTCTGAAAACTCAATGACTTAACAATGCCATCTTCATAAGTGACCATTGAAAATCAATCTTCCAACAACCAAATATGTAAACTTTGAGAATACATCTCAAAACCTATAAGATTTCTTGTCAAACATTAAGAAAATCTTTTCAGAAAAACTTCACTTAATTTTCGACCCTACTCTCGAAAATCAAGGTTTTAGAACACAAGTCAAAGACTTCAATCCTTAAAGTTGG